AGAAATTAACCATAATGAAAATCTTTTTACCGAATCGGCAACCAATGGTTCCAAGTGAAATCTAAGTTAACTAGCCGTTAGTTGTTTGTTTGTTCATTTGAATTTGTGATATAAGAGGAGACTAGCTGTATTATAAATTATGCTTTTAGGCGATTTTTAGATAAAAAAATACTCATTTAACTTTATTTATTTAATTCGTGTAACTAGACTATACTAATTCTATTAAGATATGTATATAACATTATCTGTGTAGATAATTTTTATGATATTAGACATGGTACGACTTAATGGGGTTCAATATTAATACATTTGAAAAAGTTGTCTGAATCATCCCACCGTTGATGTTAAGGACTACAACACAACACAACTGTGTTTTCTGTATCGGTCAAATCATGAAAATTTGTATTCTTCACAATATCTATCAAGTAACCAATAGTAAAGAAGACCATATGAAACAATATATTTCATTGTGAAATTTAGACCAAAAAATTCACAATTGTCAAAGTCTAATAATTCTCAACGGAGTTAAAATTAAGATCAACAAACAGGCTTTTAACATCTTAGACATATGAATCATTAAGAATTAGGAATAATTACTCATACGTAACAGACTACCTATGTTTCTGCATACATAAGAATAACCGCTTTATTCAATCACATGTGACTAAATAATTCGAACCATTAGCTGCGATTTTAATTGACTGATTTAAAATTTATTTAATTCACAATAACTTTAACGGAAGATACAGGCAAACACAATTTCATCGTCTATAGACATTGAACAAAAAACAACCTAATGACATAATACACATTGAAAATGTTTCTGTAATTCTCAAATGTCACATATGAAAGTGTGAAATAAATTTACAAAAGGTTGCTAGACTGTTTAAAATTAATGGATAAATGATGTAAACTTTGATTTTCTGCTATTATGCCACAACTGATATCTCAAGAAATGATATTATTCAGTTAGCAATCACAGACTCGTCAGGCGATAATTTCTGTTTTAAATGTACCAGTTCATCTATAATTTGATGAGACATTAAAACAATGAAATGATTTAAAGAGTTATTTATCATAAATTATATATCAATTGGGAATATGTATCAATTCCAAATGGACTGTGTCGAGAATTATAAGAACATAACTAGTATATAACATCAACAGTTACCTTCCATCAACTGATTTTAAAATAGTTTTCTGAATTTGAAAGGTAAATGGTAACATGTATTTATGTGTTGAGTGTTTCAACACTTAACTGACTTTTCAGAAGAAGCCTATTTTTCCTTCCAAAGTAGAAATATCGCTGTAAGCACAAATATTAATTAATAGATCCATGTTTTAACTCCATAGAAATTAACGCTGAATTCATTTGATATCTCGTAATTCAAACTTAATAGCCTTTAGGTTACCGCGAATTCCAGGAAAATGGGTTATGACTTGATTACTAGCCAGATGAAATAAACTTCCCTTATGGTTGTACATTTTATGCCACATTGACTTTGTATGAAAACATTAAATAGTTTTACTAAAACAGTCAACCCAGTCAATTTACTCTGTAAGTTAATCACCCCTTACAAAGCAATTATAAAGTAGTTTCACTAGACTTATTTTCCAACTGACTGTCAGTTATCTTATAAGTACAAGAATTGGAATAATGAATGAGCTGACTACGCAGTTTTCGTGGTGGCATTTTGTAGATATTGTGTACATAACCAGAAAAATGTAGTACACATTATAACCAACTGATAGTTTGTGGTAACTGAAGATCAACACCTTTCATGCACAATAAATTTGCATTTCGAAGCATAGTAAGTAACTCTAGATCTGGAAGCAGCAGCTGCATCTGGTAACTACCGAAAGCACGTTCAATCCATCCGAGCCACTGGTAGCCAGAAGTCTAGTATGCGTAAAGCGATCTGTGAGGCTGATGGGATGCCAATCATTAACATCTATCGATGTCTTGGACGATGGGCAGAGTTCTTCCAAGGGCAGTTCAACTGGCCTGCTGCTCCGGCAACATCGATCAGACTGTCCTACCCTCCATGGCTGGTGACGACTGATCCACCAAATGAGGCGGAATAACACAAGGAACTCCAACTCCTGAAGTGACACAAATCACCAAACCCAGATGACTTACCTCTGTCTCTTTTTAAAGATGGCGGCGATTTTCTGGTTAAGTTGTTCACAAAGGTTTGAGAACTAGACAGTGTTCCAACATCATGGAATGAGTCGTTAGTTGTCCCTATATCTAACATGGGTTCATGTCGTTTCTGTAACATCTATCGGTGGATGAGTGTACTTCCCATTGCGTCCAAACTATTGGCTTCCGTCATACTTCGCAGATTGTTCAAAACCCGAGGAAATTGATTCACGAGGAGCAGGCTGGTTTTCGTTTTGGTCGAGGATGTATTGATTATTATCAAATCATCGTCCAACAAATGTTAGAACACCGTCATACTTATCACAGGCCAACAATCGTAGTGCTGATTGACATCAGGGCTGTCTTCGATTCGTTGGACAGGACTATTCTCTGGGGTTGTCTATTGAGGAAGGGTGTGCCTGAGAAGTTTATTAACATCCTAAAAGCCCTATATACAGACACCTCAGGCAAAATGAGGGCATACAACCACCTCTCTCCATTGTTCCATTCAAGCAGAGACGTTATTAAATATGGCTCAGAATAGGAGCCAGTGGCGATCCTGCTGCAACCTTTTTCTTTCTTCATGAAAACTAGCCGTATCTTCCTCAACTGAAAGAATTCGTTCTGGTTGTACCTTTCTGTTTCCACCACCACCATACACTAATCTGTGGTCGTAATCGCTCTTTTTTCCCTTTCATCTCTTTAATACGCGCCTTATTCTTTTTATCTTCCTATTCTCATTATTGTTGTGTGGCGCATAAGTATTTGGCGACCCCTTGTACCAATATTTGTGTTTGAATAATTAAATCCCCAAAGTCCAGCGGCATTCTTTAGATACTGACAAATCATTGTACTACTCTTACAGTTAAAGATTAGACTGACTAGACAATTACCTATGGTACTCAATTGATGATTGAAAAAGTGATGAATTACTCTATTGTCGATGAGCTCTAAACTCTGTTATTCTGAAAACCCATGTGGTAACATGGTATTTCTTACATGCTCCATTCTTTGATGGCCGCCTTTTCATTTGTCACGCAACTCCTACATCTAAACATTCTTGACTTTAAATCAATTGGGAAAAGTTTGCACACGTATCTTATCGAATTTGCAACAGATTAATTAAGTTACTGGTTCAATAGTATTTACATGATGATGTTAAACAGATTTCGCGTTATAACTTGATTGTTTAGAGACACGATCTGTTACAAAATGCTTTTCCGACAGATATGTATAAACCTTAAGAAAAGAATCCTAAATGGTTACTAAAGTCAGGGAGCTTGGGTTTCGCAAAATTCATGAATTGAAAATATACTGTGAAATTAATAAGTTTGTAGACAACATACATAGTGTATAATTGGAGATCTTTTTCATGGTCTTCATTTGTGAGAATTTTGTTTTTTAGTAATATTTAAGAACGGACCATAAACAAAGTAGTCGAAAAGTTAAAGAATCACACTATTACCTCAGGGTTCAAGAAACTCAAAGTTCAAACATTACGGCGACTCTAAACACTTTTATCTTGAGAAATCACATAGTGTTGTGGTGTGGGTCACTTATACCCATGTAAGTAGTATATGATGGTGGTCAGGCATAGAATGTATTTCAGCGGAAGATAGATAAGGAAGGAATGGGAACCGAAAGAAACTGGTATGAAATACATGAACAATGAAATCTGAGACAATGGACTGATATTTGCAAAAGGAACAGTCATGTTTGAGACGTTGAATTGATATTTTCCAAATTAACTATTTACTATATGATTCTCAGATTTTAGTGAGATGCTCTGTAATTTCGTGTCAAACACATTCGATTGTCCCCACTCGTGTTCTTGTTCACTACAGTATGAATAGCGCTAACACAAGGTGCATAATTTGAGGATAATTTCTTCAGGGTAAGCAAAGATAAGAATCGTTGAAGAACACTGCTAAGGTTGCTACACAATAGGATCTTGATGATAAGTAGATTGAATTAACCATAAATCTCAAGAACTCCTTTTAGAATAACTATGGGTAATAACCATATACAAGCAACTCCAAGGTTTTGTTTTAAGCAAGTAGTTGTGCAGTTCTGAAAAAGACAAATATAGAGCTGACTTTATAGTTTGTTGGTCAAGTAACCAAATGTTCGTCAACTGAATTCAGCCATAAAAACCTATTAAAAACATGACTACTTCTGACTTAATAAATTTGGAGACCATAAATTAATCTTAAAGAAAAAGAGTAGAAAACGCGCAAGTCCATGTTTATCACCTACAATTCTATGAATGAAAAGCTGAAAATGATACATTCGATTCGCATTAGCGATTAATGAATCTCAGCCGTATTTAAGCGCACCAATTCGATCCTTATGGTATGATTAATTCCGGAATGTATTTAGAAATGAAAACAAGTTATTAAAACACTACTTTATCATTAATTCACATGAATTCCTCTTTAATAATTATTAGTAAGGGCATGAGTAGTGGGCACTGATATCAGATCATAATGAGCTTGAACACAATAGAAGGAGCAAGAAAATGATATAAGAAATAAGTAGTATATCATGAGTCCTTAGAAAAAACACTGGCTTCTTTTGAATTCATGTGTCTGGTCGTATTTTTCTGAGCTGGAGTAGAAAATTAGGGCATGAATACGTTACCTCATATACATAAACACATATTCAAGTATTAATTCTATGGTATATTATGCAGAGGAGAAATCGCTACACCTTTGGTTAGAGAATCTTCAGAAAATGAGCTGTGATGAATAACCACACTGGATCTTGCATTTGAGTTCTTAAAGCAGTATGCACTTGTGTAATGAAATGACAAAACTGTCATTTGATTAAGATCTGTAATATATTAAACAAGAGAGCTGCATTTTGTACAAGATTTATATTTTAGTCAACCAGATTGAGATCAATCAATAAACTCAGGGACTGAACAAAAGTGATTAGATTTACAGAAATGCTAGATCAGGTTAGAAAGTAACGTCAGAAAAAACGATTATATACAATGACACAATTCACGAGTAGTCACTCTAATTCGTGGAATCTGGCAAACATTGCTCGCTTAACGTTATCTTTATAATTGTCTGACTGAGGTCCTCTTTTTGACGTTTTGATTCCAAGACCAACGCCAGCTTCTCTAAATTCGGCTTCAACTATTTGAGTTCGTCCTTGATTACTTCGACCAAGACCTTGACCAGCTTGCCAGCCCATTTTTTCCATAAGTCGACTTCCGACGTTGGGAGCTAAAAAAAATTATGAGTTAGATTCAGTGAAGTAAAATGGTTGTTATGAAAAGCATCTCCATGGGTTTGTGAAATTTACGTTAAACAGAACTATTTTTGTATAAAATGACAAATAGAAATATTCTAGATTGTAAGGATACAAACAGTTGGAGAAAAGAATATAAACATGCAACTAAACAAAAGATGATTTTAAATGGTCCACTCGTAATTCCAAGTTTCTTAATTATCTCGAAACTTTTTAAATCCATGAACACATACTTTTTTCTTGAATCACATCTTCTATGCCTAATGGTTTTTGCTATCATTAATACCTTTATTACTTGTATCACTCTGGCAGCTTGGTGTTCCGGTTGATGTGGTGTAGCAAATTCAACCGATAAACAAGTGTCCAATTCTTCGTTATTCATGACTGATCGACTGAAGGAGTTTGTCGTACAAACTAACAGCTACCTACAAAAGTTTCGATTGATAAACCGACTTCATGAATTAGGTGGATGCAGCTGACCCTTCAAAAACAAATTTTATAAGAAACCCTCCGGTACTAATTCAATGACGACTATTATGAATTTAGATATTCGTTTCTTTATACACTTGACACCTTTCACTAAAAGCGAGATAATGGAAACTTCAAAAATAAAATGAACAATTTATAAGACAAAACTATTAAAATCCATAAACTTGATTACATATGTTGCCTTCTATTTTAAAATAAATTACTATGCACAATCACATAAACTCACCTTCAATATTTTTTCTTAACTCCCTCCCTCTACGCATTAGTCTTAATGAACAAAAATGACACCAAACGCAATAACCTCATCTAGGACGTTGGAGCAAACAAAACTAAGTCATCACGTTAAAGTTGGTGTAATGATTAGAGGCATTTGTAACATAAAAATCTGATCACTGGAATACTTTATACTTCATTTTATATAACAGACTTTAGCACATAGGTTCTTGATATAAGTTGAGTAGTTGATGCATTTGAGAAGAGGTAAATTTATCGGACTTAGGTCATGAGAGTTATGATTTGTGCTTTTAGTAACCCGTAATAACAAAGTTTAAAACTTGCACAACACACAAATCAAGTCAAATTTGGAATTACTTTTCAGAAAAATTACTATTATAGAGGGTTGATGAAAAGTAATTTCTACATAGCAAATAGCTGATTAAGTATGACAGGGGAATAACTAAAATTTTTGCTTGAAACTTGGTTTTACTGATAGAAAACTAAGGTTATTAAACTTGCACAAACCTGACTGGGGTGGAGGTGGAATCGATGGGAGGGGAGGAACGAATGAGTCTTGTTCTATATGCACGACTGACGGCTGACTTTCCAATGACTTCATTCTAGGTGGGGATGGTATTCCATACTTTTCACGACGCTCCTTGGCTCGATCACGATATTGACCGGATGCGCCTGATCGACTACTAACTTGTCTAGAAGCTACTGATTTCTCATGATTACTGGCCGTTTGAGCACCAATCTGCATTAACGATGCTATTGAAAGGGAATTTTTAGGTGAGTTAACAGCCGTTGAAGCTTCCTGATTTTGCACGGGGGTTGGAACAGGAATTGCTGGTAAGCCATATTTTCCGCGTAATTTATTTAAATTTTCATAATGGAGACCAGAAAATGCTCTATGTTTTTGAAGAGTTGCTGCATCTTTGAAGCCGCGGGAGCACAACATACAAGCAAGCTTGGCCCAATCCAAAAGTCTATAATTAAAAATAATTGATTACAATCATATTTTAAACGTAAAGAGCAGATAACGTTTTTATTCATGGAGCACTTGTTTAACAGGTGGAAAAAGTAAATTAGATGTTACTAATAAAAAGACTTTTTTAAATGAAGACTACATCACTACCAGCATTTTTCAAAGGTTGGAACAATCAGATATGTATTCAGTTAAATATCAACATTCCCTAGTTACACCATAGATTAATAAATGTATGGATATGCAGGATACATAAACTCACTTGCTTTCTTCTTCTGAAACCTTTGTTTCAGCTTCAGCATTGAATGAAATCAATGAATCTTGTTTTTCACTATGTGTCTCATCCTGGCCAGAATCGTCACTATCTTCAACACCGCCATACTCTGCAACTAAACTGGCAGATTCGGGTGTATGCGAGTCACTTGTAAGTGGATTGTTCGCAGACGCCTCCAAAATTGCATACCCTGTGTCTGCTGTTCTACTCGCCTCAGACTAAAATAAATAGAGAGTATAAACTACTGAGCACTCTTTCGGAACTCCATTATGAAAAATAAAAAATGAAATAGTGTATAGAAATTAGAAATTTAAGAGACAAATGTTTCCAAAATCCAGATCCAAATTGTTTTCGAAGTTTCAGACAGCATATAACAAGACCAAGGAATTCAGTACAGTACCTTCAGTTACTTGCCTTAAAACAACATGGTTTCCGAATATAAAAATTAATCACAGAGGAAAAATGGAGTAGGAATTCTCAGGCATTGCCGTTTACGAACAAAAAGATAACAAGACCATGATAAGACTTCAACAAATAAATTATGGTCGAGAATAGTAACATTATCAAAATTAAATCCAGAAGAACTATTATCATACTACAAACAACAGTAATAAATTAGACAGATTAGACTAGTATTAGCCGGTACATCACGATACTCGGATTCGGGTTTTAAAAATGGTGTGACTCAGTGGCTTGAGACGTATCCAGGGATGATTCCGAACTAATTAAGGTCATTTTGTAAATCTTGCATTCTTCACAAAAGTGAGGGGAACGTTCCTAACTGAATACATGCCATTCGTGGCCGTGTTTTTAACTTATCTCGTTTACTTATTTTTACGAATTATTCAGACTAAACTCCCTTCTTTTCATATATTGATTCACAATTTCATTTTCCTGCTCATGTGGAGCATATTTATTTTGGTGACCATTTGTACTAGTATTTGTTTCAAATAATTAAAAAAATAAGGAGTCACAAAGAAAAGCAGTAATACTACAAAAACCTGTTGGGACTCCCTATCACACGGAAACGGAAGAGAGGTGTATTTATCCTAGGTAAACTCACTGTTATCACATCAGAGCGCTGTCCGGCATTGGATGAGGCTTTTTTCTGAGCATTCATCTTCTTCGCCCACTTTTCCATTTCTCGTGCAATCTGTTGAGCTGTTTTACCACGATCATCCTAAAACGCAGAGAAAGATAAATGTTAGTTTCCTATATACTACTTTCAGTATTACTTGTTATTTTTATTTACCCAGACTTCTACTGCGTTCATGGAAAACGCTAAAAAGATGAAACGACGAGATGAAGTCAAATCTTAAGCTGCTTTCAGGCTTTAGATTGATATGTATAAGACTTAAGAAGACGTAGATAATACGAAAATCAAGATTGAACTTACTTTGTTTTTAGGAGCATCTGAAGTATCGGTTTGAGAGTTGGAAGCCGCATTATCGACGGAATTGGATTGAGGATTTGTTTGTGGTACAGGAAGATATGTACTCTTCGTTTGATCCCAATAATAATATTGCTGACTTCCGCGGTCATAAAAGTATTTTGAGTTCGGTTCATACATTAGACCAGTGACAGGATCATAGTAAAAGCGAGTAGACTCATCGTATATGTACTTAGATGTGTCCGGAAATGCTGTGATAAAAATGTTAGACAGTTTATTTGTCAGTAAACTTCAAAAGTGTTCGTTCTCAATAGATTTTTATTGTACCAAAAAACCTATATCTTTCCTAATAATGATTATATTTCTCTTATAACGTTGATTGTAAAACATAACAAATGAAACCAACACGATTGTGCATCAAAACATACGTTGCCTTCTGGATTAATCAGCTTATTTTAATTAGTCAAATTTATAACCCAGTGAGAGTTATTTGGAGGTTTATTTACACTATATCACGTGCACATTAATCTTAATAGCAATAACCAGTGTCACGATGTCAAAAACTAAATGTTCGAGACAACTCACTGAATAAATTTTATGACAGGATGTAAAGACTATGCCAATTATCTTCGAAGGAATGCTGATCGATTAATCAATGCAATATGAACTGAGTAACATCACTATCTACTCAAGTTTTTAATTTAGAATACATATTAAAATTAATCGTCAAAATAAAAAACAACTACAGCATACTAACAGCATGGGTGATTATGATGTGATGCACAGTTCGTGCAGATTTCAAAGACAGTTTACCTAAGCCTTCGTGACTATGGAGATGTTATGAACAGGTTTATTTGTTTAAGTAGTGAATAGAATGCTGACGGACCGGATAGGACAAGATATAATCGATTAATAAGCATAATAAAATTGACGGATAAATAATGCTTTCCATGGTAAAATAATACGTATACAAAATATAAACATAACTGCATAATATTTACGCCTTCCTGGCGAGTGCTAACTAGGGTGAGACTAAAATCCATGGGTTCCTTTCAACTGCCCAAAAGCAGAAAAGAGCTCATGTGATGTCAAATAACTTAGACTAGTAGCTACATCGCAACTCGACTGAGAGAACCCGCTCAATTCCAAAGATCAGAAAAACATGACATTGGCTAATAATTAATGGTTAATCAACGTGAAATAGAAACAAAATTACGACGGGGTTTTGTATACCACTTAATAATCAGTTAAAGTACAACCCGAGTATTAGTTTTATTTCTAATCTTCTATATGTGACTTGATAAACTGAAGGAATTTACAGACCTCGAATCAGTAAACCAATAAACCTACCACGTTAAGGTATTCAGGAAAAATGACCTAATTGAATACGTTAACTCGTAAATATACGAAAAATGATAATTCAACCGTGACTTTCATCAAAACTGCAAATAGACAACAATATAGAGCTTGACGCTGCTTTGACAATAACAACATTTAAGAAGTAGATCACGTAAACTAAATACAAGGAACAATAATATCCATATGCTTCAGTATTTGAATCAAGTGCAAAGTAAATGGTTGATGCTAATAATGCATATAATAAATCGCAAAGTCGAAACCCAATTTTTGTCAATCATAATTATTTTCCAAAATGTTAGATAATATGGCCTTACGATATGTAGTCGTAGATGCCGTCACAGCGTTGAACGGGAACGAAGGAGGTGGGAGCTGCTGACCGGATGCTACGAGTGCTGCCATAGACGGTGCATAGTTAGATGAGACAGTATGTTCTGAATGGTTACGCAAAGATTTCGTCAGAGCTGACAAAACATGTTGTTCAGTTTGTTTTTGTTGTATGGCTGCCTGGGCAACAGCAGCTCCATTGTTTGAAGTTTGACTCAGTAATGCTGATGCAGCAACTGCATTCATTGCAACAGTATCGGGTGATATGTTATTATTTTGTGCAGCCATAGCTGCATGCGCTAAATCCAGAGCCAAGTTGCGACTGCTGTTTAACTGAGCGTTATATGATCCTTCCGTTTTTAGTGTTGCCATAATAGTACTTTAAAAGATGATAATGGAAAAGTGGAATAGCACATGATGAGTGAAAAAGATGTTTGAATCAGCAACTAAATACACAATTATTGATTTGAATGCGTCAAAACCTACATATACATAATACTTAGCTATATTGTACGACCGTACTAATCTAAAAACTTGAGTCAATTTATGGTTCAGCAGTTAAGAATCAAATTAAGTGTGACAACTAACATATGATTAGTAATAAGACCCGGCTAAACAATTACCTGGTAAGATTATCCCGTCGCTGATATTTCGACTGAAATCTGATCAGTCTTGAATGACATGCGCACAGTATATAGGTCGCATTTATATATATATATATATATATATATATATATATATATATATATATATATATATATATATATATATGGCTGGCAGCGGAATTTATGACGCGTGTTTTCACCTGTTTGAGACCAATCATTTGGATATACCTGGATTCCAGAATTTAAGTCAAAGGGACCGGACTCGAGTCCTGGAGTGAACATAGACTTTGAGACCCAGATACAAATGAGTCCCAAGTAGAAGAAAACGTGAATAGTAAACTCAACTGCTAGTCACATTTCATTTATTCTATACGAGATTGCCAAGCGATTTTGACTTAGCAAGAGTTGTAATGTAGAGTAAATGCTATTTCAAGAATTATTGTTTAGAGATAAGTAGCATAAATAAAGTGTCTACATCTTGATAGGCATTCCGACCTTAGTCATTTATAAACGTTAGACATTCATACTTGATATATAAATGTAAAAATTACGGCATCAGGCTATCCAATGCCTGGACACATTTTAAGATGGAAACCGAAAGAGGAAATAAACTACTATGATACTCAGCATTAATCATAAACTTTTTTAGATGGTTAAAGCACATATCGACTTTTTTCTAATTGTACACAAATATAATCGACCAGGATTATGCTAACTCTTAACTTCCTTACTTCTATCAAATAATAAAATTTATAAGCAACTGAACACCTTGAACATAAAAAGTAACTAAACAAGAACTTTCATCTAAATTTGAACGAATAGTTTCACAATATTTGGGCGCCGAGTTAATGTGAGTCATTAAAGAGGAATAATATATATTTGTAAAATCTCAGCGAAAGAATTTGAAGTAATTCCAACGTTTCGCCTGGCAATCTGGTCCAAGCTTTTTCAAGGAAAATATAATCAAACAACAAAATTATCGAATACAAATAGGTACATGGTTCTTCGGTTTACTGTATACTGAATAAGTCATCCAATCAACGCGAAGGATTTTTCTTCTATCGCCTAGGATAACACGACAATTTCTTATTCTTTTTCTCCCTTTTATTATTATCATTTTTAATTGAACCTTTATTTGGTCGACCTTTATTATTTTCATATAAACATGTCTTTTACACATTAATGCAAATACCTATTTTTAAAAAACCCTTCACGTTGATTGGATGACTTATTCAGTATACAGTAAACCGGAGAACCATGTACTTATTTGTATTCGATAATTTTGTTGTTTGATCATATTTTCCTTGAAAAAGCTTGGACCAGATTGCCAGGCGAAACGTTGGAATTACTTCAAATTCTTTCGCTGAGATTTTACAAATATATATTATTTCTCTTTAATGATAAAAAGTAACTATTCGTATATTCCTGTGATGTCAAGTATGAAGTACAGTTTAATAGGGTGAGCAGTGTTGAGAATCACAAACAACCAAATTCAGATACGTTCTGCTGAAGGATCTAAAACAACAGGTGTTATGAGTTTTACGGTGTCGCGGTGTAAAAAGCTATACAGGACTGGCTCTTATTGGTCCTTTACAACTCCCTGGTCGGGGTCCTAGGGATGGTACTACATAGTGGCTTGAGACGTTATCAGATACTGCCCAAAATACAAGCCAGTGTCAATCTTGCTGTAACTTTGCTTTCTTCATAAAAGTGAGAGCAACTTTTTTAACTGAAAGAATTCTTCCTGGTTGTATTTTTCCTAACTGAACTGCTTCTCCCATTAGTTTGTATTTATTGTCGTTCTTTCTTCTTACATTCACCTTCCTATTTGTTACATTACAACCTTATTTTTATTGTGGAGCATCTATATTTTGATGTTCCTTTGTACAAATGTCTACGTGTTCAAATAAATAAATCTGAGGTTGACTGACAATCAGCACTAAAAATCTCACCAAAGGTGCGCATGCGAAAAATGTTCACCTACCTTTTCAGGAAGCCTATACTCTAACAAAGACTAGATAATTAAGTCAAGAATATCAGCAGTAGGAAAACGAGATCGCTGAGATTAATGAAAAATACTGTTTACTACAAACTTGGGTTTTAATTTTGTATCTCTGTCTATCCAAGTGTATCACTGAGTGATGAGTAAATAGTAGTGTTTCTATTCACCGTTAGTTGCTTTATAATCTTAATTTATTTCTTTAAATAATTTACTAGAAGAATGGTATTTATACATACAGACTAAAGTGAAGTCCTAGCACCAAAATCAAACTAAGTAAAATATTACATTCAAGGGAAAACCACTTAGTAGTAAGACAAGGTGATTCTTATACCTGAAGAATGAGTACCATGCTCAACTAGAAAGCCATATTCGCTACTTACGTTTAGTACATTGGTCACAACCAACACTTACCCGAGTAAAATTACTAATTTAACCTTATAAAAGCGGAAATCCATATGACTACAGAAGTGAATGCAGGTCACCTCCAATTAATATAAACCTGAGGAATGTTATAGGTGACAGAAATCAGTATTATTGTGACCTTTCAGACTTATTATTAATGATCATCTGTAATGTGGCAACGTAATCTACGCCTGCTTTTGCTTGGTGTACAAAACTAAGTATTGTGATGTTTACTCGTGTAATTGTATTTTCTTTGAACAAATACACTTTTGAAAGCCCTGTCTTTCTCTGTATTCTTATTCATTGACAGTTACCATAGCTGAGTCGTGTAGTAGTATCCGATCCGTCTAGACCGCATTAGACAGGCCTTTGTATTAGAAATCTTCTGATCATTCTCACCTTGTATCCCAACAATATCTAAGACTAAACAAGGAAGTGCCGAGGACTCACAACTGGTAATTTGAACATATAACCTAATTGCAGCAGAATAAGGACACTCAAAAAAGTATTTAGCTTCATACTGAACTAGTGTGAATATATCAGGAACGGTCACACCGACGAAGCATAATCTTGAGCATGATGTGGAATTGCAACGTTTTTGAATTTAGTTAAACTAAAGTTATCCCAACTCATACACGTATAGATTTAAGAACTGGATCTTTGGTTCACACTTGCTATAAGTTTTGAAGAAATATTACCCGCTTCCAAAAAAATGTAGGAGGAACAACGTTTACACTTGAGGCACAACAGTTGAGATCCAAATACTTAAATTACTAGACTATTCTACTGTTGACAAATCGGATCTATAAAGTAAAACGAGTGCCCAGACCAATTATTGCTAGTTAGATAGGAAACACTCCATGAACGTCAGATAAATATTAGACTAACTTGAAAGTATTCTTTGCGTACGAGACTGTTACTGCTTTTCCTCCAACCTCAAAAAGCTTGAATTCTTTGTTTACTATATCCATGACTTTGTAAGCATCAGCAACCGTGGGAAGCTCCGCAAAAGCAAAGCACCTGGAAGCATGTGTTACTTCATCTCTCATTACATGACATTGTCGCACTTTTACGTCGGCCGTATCTTGAAAAACCTGGCAAATATCATCTTCCGTAGTTAATGCATCCAAGCATCTCAAGACGAGAGCTGAAAATCCAAAATATCTATTCAGTGATTTTTCAACTAATAAGCAAAAAGTTTTGTCATACTGTATCTAAGCTTTGAGTATGTCACTGATTTACGTCGAAACCTGCCAATATGGTTTTCAGGTAAGGATACATTAAATGCAAACGACGAATAGCTATTTCTCAATTAATTGACGCAAATTGACTACCCTCATTACTATGATATTCTTAAACTGGAAGTATAAGAACTCCAATTGATTATTTAGATAACAGGAATTGTCTTCAGAAAATACTCATGTGGTTAGTCCTAAACATTTCTTCTCTTTAAGCAGCATTGTCTAGTACAGAAAACTTTAAGCAGACATATATAAACTTATTCTATCAGTAAGAATCACTTCGTTTAGTGGTCTACCGCTCTTGGGGTGGTTTGCTTTGATGTTACCAAGCTATATCTCACAATCAAAAAGTGGGACTGAATATTCATTCTCTCACTATCAGTAGAACAGTAACTAAACACAATAACGCTATCTTCTGTACATCAGTTCGTGAAGTTAGGCAAAATGGTATTTTTCCTAGGAGCATATCTGTGGTGGCAGTACAGTCACCCTTCATATCCAGACAAGGTGATATGGACGAAGGTCAATAAACTTCGAAGAGCAACCCAACTGGTCTTTTATTGACTGCTACTCACGGATAGCATTTATGAGAGGTCATGTAGTTAAAAACACCGTAACTAACATGAACCAAAAAGAGCAGTACGACCTGGTGGGTTAACTCTAAAGGTATTTGAAAAAAGTTTGTTCTACGTCAAAAGTAACTGATATGTCAAGCAAAGTGTGGGATTTCTCCGCACAGTGACAACATTGATATTTTTGATGCAAACTGCGTGCCAATTATAGCTAGTAGATGTAGACCTTAGATAGAATGAATCGAAACCAGTCGCTGTGACGTAGATGTATTTGTTTTCTCTTTCCCTAAACTTTGGGTTTAAGTATTTCATCTCCTAATTAAGTCATATTGTGTCTAATATTTATTACAACCATAAATACTACTGTGGTGTATGCTACTTATGTTGGTAGATATAAGTACTATGTAACACCAATCGGAAACTGAAAACCCGACAGCAGAGGGTTATGAAGGTCGACATGAAAACAGAAAAGGAGTTAGGAAGGGAACAATCATACATAATGTGAAGGACAAATGATGGAATATTTCAAATGAAGTATTCAATGTATGGTTCTCATATTTTACCAAGAGATTTTGTAATTTTGTATTGGTTGTCCACACCCGAGTTTTCGTTCATTGAACTGCTACCTAGACTCCTTTGCCACACAATCGGTAAACTTCACCTCATTGTGGAAAACAGATGCACATTTATACCACATCGTACGTTATTTATGACTTACTTGACAATCGACATCTAAAAGTATTGAGTATACTTTAAACCATCGAAATGAGATAGGAGACTCCATCTACTAATATTAGGCAGTGAGGAATGACAGAGAGATTTGTGCATCCGGAGGGTTTGTGTGAGTGATGGATACATACGAGTTTGACCCAAACGTTGTGAAAGACGAAAAGTTATGATAACAATTGGAGTTGTTGCAAAGTCTGTCTGCCTGTGAAATCGTCTCTCAGAAATTGGTCATGCACAGCGAGAACGTTGTTCCAGTATTCCCAGAAACCGAAAACATGTATAACAGTGAAGTCAAATATTTGTTGACATTTAACATCGGTTATAGTGGCTTGCCTTAGTGGTCTCTTCACTGTACATCATTTTATGGAGTTGCGTCTTGGTGTTAAATGCTGTGATGAGTTCACAAAGGTAATTATAAGTAACTGATGTTAAATCGTTAGTAGCGAATTTTTGAGTGGGACCCTAAAGATAGTCAATTTAAATGACTTGGAATATTATCATATATGGTTTAACATAGAATACAATAGTGATTCTACTGTAGTTTTGTATTACGTTCTAAATGGACGGAATTTACTTTGGTAGTCTTTATCGTCGCACAGTATTTTGTACTTAATGCCTCTCTTGTTTACACGTATGTTTCTATGACCTTTCTCTTATCACTTCATTCTACTGACACATTTCGGGTACTCTATGCTACAACAGTTGTTTTGTGAATAACTGAGTATACCTAGAGAAAATAATATAAAAGGGAGAACGGCGAAAAATGCTAAACATTTGGTATTATTTTACTTACTATTGCATGGAGTTGTACCGATGAGATCAACACCATCGACTGAGTTTGTGAGGGATTGCACTTGAGACCTCGGCAACTGACATTTATAGCACTGATCTCGCCTTCTGAAGTTGTGACTAGAACACTAGATAGGAATTAACCAGTAGAAGGGTCGGGTGAATTATTACTTTAGAAGTTATTTCCAGCACGATAAATTTAAATTTCGAAACAACTGTGAGATGAAATACTTAAATAATACCCACCCTTGAACAGATCCAGTCTCCGGTGGAGACTTCTGACAACGCAGGAGGACGAGTCATAAAGCTTGACGGACCAAGTAAGCCGGGAGCATCTCCAGAATGATGTATCAATGAATCAAGCTGGTTGCGGGGAGTGCTGTACATCAATCGTATTTCATAGCGTCGCACACGAAACATGCCCTAAATAAAGAAGAAAACATATTTAAATAAGGCTATTTCATACGGATTAGGCCCATGATTCCAAACTATACGACAATTACGAGGTGAAGATAAGCATGTTTAGGAAACTTGACAAAGATAACCTGTACTGTGAATGCATTACTTTTTGATGGTCCATCCAACGTCTTGCTTCATGGACAGAAGCGAAATCCACAAAACCGAAGCCCTTCGATATACCTGCGAACAGATTTGAATAAGACAGGAATAAAGCAACTGCAGAGAAAAATTCTTTATCGACAAAATTCACTATTAGGAATGCGATTTACAGGTCCCGACTCGGAAAACTGGAAAGTTCAGCCAAGAAACAGTGCAGAATAGCCTTTTCCTCGTAATCTAGGTTTAAGTTCCAAATCGTAAATGCATTAAACTAAGTTTGGAATTAGGTTTGTTGTGCCTAAGTGACTACAAAAACTATCTTCACGTTAAAACTCTAGGTTTAATCGTTACAACAGTTGAATACCTATAATAGTTACGAACTAATCTCTCCTTTTCTTGCTTCTTAATGTGACGGATTATTTTAATATCAACACTTGGAGATCTAAGCGCAGAAGCTTGTATATACTCTTCAGACACTATACTCATAAGGATAACACTCAGAACGTTTAACACTTAATAGTTCTGACACTGGAGAAAATATTAACCCTCAAGATTAAAGTCTTCAATGAAACCAGGTTTTTAATGGGTCATCTTAATTAAGAAATGAAAGCTTATGTCGATATCTTAGATATCATCAATTAAATAGCATCTAGTGCAGGACTAAAAATCATATGGAACACTTAGAGCAAAGATTATGACAGGCTTTGCCAATCAGTTCTTTAATACTAGAGTTCACACCTTACTGTTTGGAACACTTAGAGCAAAGATTATGACAGGCTCTGCCAATCAGTTCTTTAATACTAGAGTTCACACCTTACTGTTTGGTATTACGCTTTTTCGGATGAATGACCATTTTCACCGGAATATATGGGTCTGTCACGAGAATATAAGTGCAACCGAAGCGTCAACAAGAAGCAGACGTATGCTTAACTAAAACCAGTAGCTAGGGCGTACTATAAGAATGGAGACCAAACGAGATACTAAGAAAACCAATCTAGTGGGATACACATATGTTAATATAATAGAAATTTTTCGAGGACTAGATGTAATGAAAAACTTGTGAATAATTGTTTGGAAGTTCAATGATTTGATAAGTTACAAAAGTTGCTGAATATAACGATCCACAGAAAATCCAATAAATGATATAGCCTCAGAATATTTATTTTCACTCAGGAATACGTATAAGTTAATCAATTATTAGTAACGTAAAGGTGAAAGCAAGTTCAAAATCAACAAACAACTATTGTATTTCAATAGTTTATTGAAGCGGGAAAGGAAATAAATACATACCCGTTGTTTTATCCTTGATTACACGAACGTCTAAGTAACTCACGCGAGCATCATCAAGAGCGTCACGAATCTATAAATGAACTGAGTTGAAACAATACGTACATCTCGATGATCAAGGGAAGTGGGGATCCCACGCAGCATAATAGTTGGTGATGCATCGTCGAACTGAAAGGATTAATTTTATGGACGACCTTACTTCATCATCACGCTTTTCCTTAGGGTTGCTATAGTTAAGCCTAATTATCGTTTTTCGTACCTCAATTTCTCCCTAGACAATACACAGCTTGAAAGTCTGAACCTTACCTGGCAATCTCGCATAAACTGTTTAGCATCATTCGCCGATACAAAGTCAACAAATCCAATCCACCTTCCAGTCTTCTTATCGCGAACAAGACGTACGTCAGTATAGTTTGCGTGTTCACTATCAAGTGTACGTCGAACCTTAAACAATAAAACTCAAGTAAATCCGCACTCACATCACGCTCCGTTGTTGACGAAGTCAAGCCACGCAACATAATCGTTGGAGTAGGTATATCCTGTGAAGAACTCAAAAAACCGACTGCAACAAACCATTTCAAAAGTTTCCAAAATAAGGAAGTGAGTTTATTATGAGGGCTTTCGTGCAGCAATTTGAAAAGTTGGGATCTTATAAGTATCAAATTTTCAGCGTTAATTTTCTGAAATTCGAAGGACTTGATTTCTGAATACGAAATTCGAGATACTGAAAAAAGCTAATCAGTAAGGTATAGAAGCATCACTAACTGTTTCGACGGGAAAACAGGACTACACCAGGAAGATCAACAGATGCGGTTTTCACTAACCGCGCCTCAGTATTAAGGAATCCCACTGATTAGAACAAAATTAGCTTGTTACTCATGACAGAACTGGCAGGTTTCTGTTCAGACCATAAAACGTTGGCGGATAAGACCACATTAGCTTCGATTTATTTATAAAGGTTACACTAGTTTTCCTCAACATGGTCATGTGATAAAGGATTGTCGTGCCTCATGAAGAAAACACACGAGAGAACCATGATGAAAAAAGACTACTATTGCCCAAGTGCTGCCATTATGTAATTATGCTACTGGGAAGCCTATGTACTAAGTAATCTCAGTGTCATCATGTTATGCTGGTCCTTATCATCTTAATATTAATTCTATTTTCTCTACTTTGACGACCTGCTATTCTTTGACAGATTTGAAGCTAAAGTAATGGCCTGAGATCGACGTTGCAGTTGACACTCAGTATGCTGGCCTTTATTTTGCTTGAACTAATTGACTTTCAGTATTTCATCATGTCAGTAAAGCTATGCCCATTCGTTTGTAAGAAACTTTAATAAACTATCCATTCGCTAGATTGTTTCGTGAAACGCCTATGAGTAAAAACTTAAAGCGACACGCGTAATTGCTCGTTAGTCACATTCATGAAGGATACCGAATGCTATCTTATCCCACCCTCGCCACAGCACACATTTTGCAGGAATGATCGAACGGTAGATAATTATTCGTCAAAATGACATTCCTGTAAATCTACTACAGGCTTATTCACTCACTCGCCTTTCACATGAAATCCGAACATAATGAGTTCCTATATATATGGATGGTTTTGTTATTGAAATAAGTTTTACTCTAAATCCTAATATTTACTATGGTTGTAGACTTCTGATGCTTTAACAAGTAAGCTTTCCCCTGCTCTAAATTAACCCGAAAGAACCACCAAACTTGAAACATCGGAAGATAGACGTACTAAACATGAGAAAACGGTATTGATCTTAAAAAATGTTAATTATAATGTAAAAATAATTAGAAATGTACCGAGAGAAGATCACTATTGTGGACGGGGAATAAAGTGCCGAGAGTTGCTACGGTTGTTTTGCTTCATCGTATGGTTGACAAAACGTATCAGAAACGATATATTATTAAATTTCTTGTTGGTTTACTGCCCTGTCTACCCAATAATATACTGAAGAGGACTTGTCTTGATATAGGTTAAAGCTTTGACACGAAAGGTTAACTGACTCAACCATGGGGCTAGAAACGTGTGAGTCTAAATCGAGACACTAACGATCTTGTGCAGAGAGATGAAAACTTTTCTACCACCTGATTTTTCGTCAAGCAAGAGGGCGAGAGAGAAAACGCGTCTACTGGCATACCACTCTATTAATAAATGACTCCTGATTCCGTTTGATGTAAAAACGATACATCAATGAATAGCTGACTAAGACAAGCACAACGCACAAACTGGGCATTAGAGTAGAAAAATAGAGTTAAAAAGGTTATGTTCAAAGTGAAACAGCCTTGGAATAGAAAGAAGAATAGCGGTGAGTCATACATTAAACCAAAGCTTATTGTTTGTAGAATAGAATAGGAACAAAACTAAATGTCAGAATTTAACAAACGTTGAAGTGAGCGTAATAACACTCATAAAAATAGCTGCCGTTACCTTTAATGATCTCTTTATTTCTCTTTTCACATCAGCTCACCATGAAACAAGCAACGTACTTTCAAGTTCTTGGACTATAAGATATCCAGCTTACATCAATGTAAAGTCATGTCTTAACAAGAGAGTGTACCGACTAAAACCTTCTCTGTATTTATGGGTTCTTGTAGTGGCATTGAGCCTTAACCACACAATCCTTAATGCTGAATAGAAAGCAACTGTGTAAATAGATATTCAACATTTAACGCGTAGAAAAACGCTACGATGTAGAAGGCGAGAAGAATGAATAGAGTTAACTCGAATTGACCGGATGGCATGCCTTGGCCTTGCAGGCGTGGTGGTTGTTTAGTGTTGTTATATACCTTCTATTCATAATAAATATATTGTTCTATCTCTAGCCTTAGCGTGTTCTTCATCATATATTGATGATCGTCACGATGCAATTGGTCAGTGTAGACAATCATGTGACTTCCTATAGGTTAGGCAGTTACATCATGACAAATCTTCAGTTTTAGGATTAAGCCTATTATTAGAGCAGTACTAATATCACAGTAGACCATAATTCTACATTTTCTTGTAAATCAAAAAGGTCTGCGAATTGGACTCGAAAATCTACAAATCGAATTGAAAACAACAGTATGTGGTATATTCAACTCAAATTAGAGTAAATTTGCAAAAGTCGTGATAATTTCAAAAAACCTAAGTTAAAAGAAAGGTATTCGGGTGACAGTTATATATTAATAATCTGTAACCCGTGGAAAGTCAAGGAAGACGTGTTTGTTAGTCCTTTTCAAATCTGACTCTGAAAATAAGCAGACAACATAGTTGTTGCGCTCACTCAGATATACACTGATGATGTCACATTTATTCAGTGTTTGACAACGCTTCTACCAGTAACACCTAATATATTTCGTTCTCACCCAGAGAATTCAAAACTCCGCCTGTAGCTCTTCTAGAGTTACTGCCGGTCCCAAGCCCGGGTAAAGGAGGAGGGTTGGGCATGGGGTTAGCGTCCCCATCCCGTAGAAAACTAACTCGCTAAAAAAACGCTTGCCAGAAAAAATAATTCAAGCCATTTTAACTCTGCCCTGAGAGTTAGAAGGTCTTCATTTAGAAGAATTATGACGCTTCATGGTGAAAGCCGAGTTCCTTCGGAAGCCACGAGGCCGATGCCCCTTCTAACAACCAGAGCAAAAATTTTTATAGGTACATGGAACGTTCGAACAATGTGGGAAACCGGGAAGACCAGCCAAATAGCAACGGAAATGAGGAGATACAACTTGGCAGTACTGGGAATCAGCGAAACCCACTGGACCCAAGCTGGACAGAAAAGGCTAGCTACGGGAGAGATGCTGCTATACTCCGGTCACGAAGAGGAAAATGCTCCACACACTCAGGGAGTTGCTCTAATGCTGTCCAAAGTAGCACGAAATGCACTTGTAGGATGGGAATCCCACGGATCCAGAATCATCAAAGCATCATTCAAAACAAAGAAGGAGGGGATCTTAATGAATATTATCCAATGTTATGCACCCACCAATGATAGCAACGACGACATTAAAGATCAATTCTACGAGCGGCTGCAGTCAATCATAGAGAAATGCTCAAGAAAGGACCTCACCATTCTGATGGGAGATCTAAATGCCAAGGTCGGAATAGACAACACTGGATATGAAGATATCATGGGACGACATGGACTGGGAGAAAGAAACGAAAATGGAGAAAGATTTGCAAATTTGTGTGCATTCAACAAATTAGTCATAGGAGGCACAATATTTCCACACAAGCGTATACACAAGGCTACATGGATCTCACCGGACCACACTACAGAGAACCAGATAGATCATATTTGCATCAACAAAAAATTCCGAAGGACAATGGAAGATGTGAGAACCAGGAGAGGTGCTGACGTAGCTTCAGATCACCACCTAGTTGTAGCCAATTTAAAATTGAAGCTAAAAAAGAACTGGACAAGTGGACAAACAGCACTACAAAGGTTCAATACAGCCCTCCTTCGAGATACTGTCAAACTCAATGAATTCAAGATAGCTCTCAACAACAGGTTCCAAGCATTTCAAGATCTACTGAAGGAAGAAGAAACTACCATGGAGGACAACTGGAAAGGCATCAAAGAAACATTGACTTCAACGTGTCAAGAGGTTCTGGGTCTAAAGAAACACCATCATAAGGAATGGATCTCTATAGAAACACTGGATAAGATCAAAGAAAGGAAGAACAAGAAGACAGCAATTAACAACAGCCGAACACGAGCAGAGAAAGTCCAAGCACAAGCTCAATACATAGAAGCAAACAAGCAAGTGAAGAGAAGCATTAGAGCCGACAAGAAGAAATACGTTGAAGAACTAGCAACGACGGCAGAAAAAGCTGCTAGAGAAGGAAACATGAAACAGCTTTACGATACAACGAAGAAATTATCAGGGAAATACAGTAAACCAGAGAGGCCGGTCAAAGACAAAGAAGGCAAGCCAATCACTGAAATTCAACAACAGCGAAACAGATGGGTAGAATACTTCGAGGAACTCCTGAATAGGCCGGCTCCAATGAATCCACCGAACATCGAAGCAGCACACACAGATCTTCCTATAGAGGTCAACCCACCAACGACGGAAGAAATTAGAATGGCCGTCAGACAAATCAAGAACGGGAAAGCAGCAGGACCCGACAACATACCAGCTGAAGCACTGAAATCAGACGTCGAAGTAACCACAAGCATGCTTTACCCTCTATTCAAAAAGATTTGGGAGGAGGAACAAGTGCCGATGGACTGGAAAGAAGGACACCTCATCAAGATTCCAAAGAAAGGAGATCTGAGCAAATGTGAAAACTACAGAGGCATTACACTACTGTCAATACCAGGGAAAGTCTTCAACAGAGTGTTGCT